AAGCAAATATTCTTAATAGATTTTATAAATTAAGAGAGAATTGAGTGGGCGCTATGAGACTATAAACAAACCAAAACTGCACAGAGGCTGAAAATCGCTTTAGAGTTCAGAAAGGCTCTATTCTTTCTTATATTAAGGGCCATGACGATTCGGAAATATAAATATCAGCTATTCGTTAATACTCTACTTAAAAGTTAGAAATGAACAATTAATTTATTCCAAATCTGGTATGTATGAAAGAAATTAAGATTCATAGTAATCTTCATATTGTCTATGGCATAGCGAGTAAGAAATATTCTTGAATGACTCTGCCAAGCACATTTTTTACCGGTAATAAGTGTGTTCACATAATCAAGTCTCAAATCTCTGACCATTAAAGATAAATCATTGATGCCTAATTAAGTAATAAGTAATACAGTTTTGGGACAGATGATATATGATACTAATACTCGTTTATTAAACTACTAATAAATTTTAACAATAAGCGTTGTATTCATTTGCGAATTTTTGGTATGCAAAGTCTCACTTTTCAGCATTTAATTTTCATTCAAAACAACTATATAAAAACCCTATTGAAGGAAATTCGGAAGTCTTATCTTTCCGAGTAAAAAATACGAGATATCTTGTTAAGTCCATTATTAAAATCTCCTTAGATTTTTATCAAATCTAAACATATTTCATAGACTAGCATAAGATATCAGCTACAAAATTTCGCTTAGTATTGAGCATCAAGAGGTATTCCAGTCATATAGGAATTTAGCTTTAGTTTATATAATAAAGGCTGAGGTTCCTTATCTATTTTTCGTTCATAAGTGGGGCTACGAGGCTACCAGTACAGATAGTTACTTCTCCTTATGTGAAAAAGCTATCATCGTTAAAACCAGACAAATACGCATAATTCGCTAGAATTATGTGATCATATCAATACTTTTATCAATAAGAAAAGCAGATTTTTAGATCTTTTCATAAGTTGTTCAGAGTGGAATAAGGCATTCTGATTAGGAATGTAAGCTTAACCATATAGTTGCATCACAAAAAGCAGTAGTATTAATTAAAGCTCACTCTTAATGTGTAAATAATTCGCTACCATGTCCATGCTTAGGATGCCACTTGACAATATTTGCGCTACATAATCCTCTAGTAGGCGGCCCATTGAACAAATCCTGAGATCTCACAGGTTGTAATATGATAGCCACGAGGGGCATGCCAGCCTAATGCAAGAATACGGAACCATCACACCCCAGCATCAATTTAGGCAGCCAAGACGAAATAATAATTAGTACCTAAATACCTTAAACAAACGTTAATTATTGAGTTATTTTCCTTTTCAATATGCCAATTTGTTATTTCCTACAATATATTTTGGAGATTTTGCTTTACATTTACACTCACGATAGTTATAGTGATGCTAGTCATGTATGAAGAGTGTAATATTGATCAGAATTTAGTTAATTTTACTTAAACGTTACATTTATCTCAGATGTGAACTAAATCAACTTTCTGAATTGGTGAATGAAAACTCTTCCTTCCTGAGTGCAGCTCTGCTTTAAACGAAATAGATAATTAATTACTAAGAATCGCAATAATTATCCATCCAAGCTTGTATGTATCTCACAGTCAAAAGCCCCTAAATCGAGATTTAAGAAAGTAGTACATTTTACAACTTTCACGTAATAGGAATTATTAGAGATAAAGGTTATAAGCACTTCAAAGTGATTAAAAATAAGGCTATAGTAGGGCTATAGTTGAAAAAATATTTCATTTCAGAGTTAAATATCCATTGACTTAACTATTTATGCCCTTATAAAAAATGATAATTACATTTTATATTCGATTTTATTTTATTATAGTCCTTATAATAGGCTCTAAGTGAGAAATTCACTTTAACGTGTATAAAGATAATCCTCTGAAGTACATTTGAGTATCACTTTCTATGAGCAGAAATGCTTATGTAAAGAGCCTATGGCAAGGTTCTATTTGTTCCAGAGTAATAAATAGGGAATATACTTATTGACAGTGAGAACTTTACTTCGACCAACTAATCAAAGTCTTCTCATAATCTAAAGCAAAAGGTAGTTCCTATAGATTGCAAAATAAAAGCACAAAATCTGCCAATATTTCTATTATACTCAGCCGTGTTTCTATAACTTGCTGATTGTTAATCTAAGAAATTAGTAACATTATCACTTAAGAAGCTTAATATCATTATTATACAAGTGAGCTTACCTTAGTTTATAGTTTAAATAAAACTTAGATGGTTACATATATTCAATTATCGGGAAGAATATTGTGTGTTAATTCATAAGACGAAAAGTGTGTAAATAGGATTTAAAAGACGAATTTACTTCCTTTAAGTCAAGCAAAGCCCTCTAAAAAATTCTGTTTTAAGAATGAAGTTTCGCTAATATTTCATTAAAATCGTATTCGATATCCACAAAATTATGTCAAGGTTGGTAAGTCGTCCTGACGAATTTATTTGGCCACACCTATCAAAACACCCGTGGGAAAAAGAGTGGGTAATCTAAAGTCTTTATTGATGGCAATCCCCAATAATATTTTCCTGCTTTATTTGAATCTCTCGATTATAAATAATACCGCTGATTCTTAGTATGACATGCCTGATAAACTAAAAAAGACTTATATGATTAAGGGTCACCGCACTCCACTTTAGCGATATAAGGGTTAGTAAGTCTCACCGAGCTTTGAAGCTTGATTTTGCATTTTTTTACTGAAATGCATAAAATTCATGGAAGTAGTCGGATATCGGTATCATAACTTCGTCGTACTATCGTGGCGACCTAATTGGATGCACCTTGCCCGAAGTCCTCTGCCATAGTAATTATCCTTATTCTAAATGTTGAACCATTGGTATGGTACATTATCAGATATTTCGCAGACATTTTATTCGGCATCGTTAGTTAGTCTTGCCATTTAATCGACAGCTCGTCAAAATGACAAGTGAAGTCAACTCCTTGACCAATTTTCTGTCGAAATGGTTATGCTAACACTCTTTCTTCTGTCCTGCACCCTTCAGCCACTCCATAACTTATCTCACCTCGTCCTATCGTAACACCTCAAAAGCTATGCACCTTTTGGTATCACACACTTGCTTCCCATCCAGATCTCCCTCATAAGCCCGTATATCTGATTATTATCTTTCTGGTTGATCGATTTCATTCGGTTCCATTCGCTATTTCTCAAGCCTTTAGAGGCACTCAAACTATCGCTTCACCAAGCAGAGCGTTGCCTTTATGGTTGATCTTCTTGAATGTCCTCGTGTCCCTTGAGAAAACGTCTGTGAATGCACCAATTACACGGTCCAACGCTGGCAATTATTTTATCAAAAAGAGCAGAGGCCAACTAGGTCATTCTGGTAACATGGGGAATTTATGAAAACGAGGTCAGACCACTTCTGTGCATCGAAAGGAGACTGCGACCAAAATAGAGGTCACGACTTCTTGTTCTTTACATATACATAAAACTCTAGGATTAATTAGTTATGTCTAGGCCACCAAACCCAAGTTACATGATCTTGAAATTCGCGGTATCCTTATGAATCACTGGCACTTGAGCTGTATGACAGAGTGAATGCTACTTGACACCACAAGCAGTTTTATAATTGGATTTATTCTGAGCCTTGAACTTGGTATGCTTTGCAAGTGTTTGTTAAAAAAATATTGCTTATTTGCTTACAGGCCAAATCTTTTCTTAGATTTACATCACCTTCGTCTTCTCTAACCAGCTTAAATAACGGACTGAAAAGCCTATTCATTGTAAGGTTAATTTTAATGGTTTGAGGTTTTATAATTAAATTTTCTTCAAATTTAATAACAAGGGACTATTATATGAAGCATCACCTCAAACAAGATGACATATTTAATAGCAGAATCAGATTAGCTCAGCTGGTGAAGGCTAAGCATGTATGCTCTTTGGATATAAGGCTTTTAGATGGATAAATTGGTATGCATTTTATTTGAATCATCCTTATGTACAAAATCAAAGCGTAACTAGTGGTTAGCTCACCAGCACATGATTATATAAAGTAACTTCTATAATGTATTTTATATCGTGATTTCTATTTTTGTTCCTTATCAACGTAAATGGAAAAACTGTTTAGAGGCATACGACTTTTAAAGGTTTTTTTAATAGACTGATATTCACTCTACTATCACTTTGTCCTTAGAGTTTTAAATGATTAACTTTACAGTTTTTATTTGACAAATTAAGGGTTTGATTTTTAAATTAAATTTCATTTTACTATATATCCCAATACACCCTTTTAATCGAAATGTTATGGCGATTTATCCCTCATCTTAGATTTAAGAGCGCAGCTTGTGGGAGCATAGTCGTTGAGGTGGATGGTACGAATCAAACGGTAAAATTCAAAATCCCTGTCAATATGACAGAAATTATGGCTCTCAATGTAAAGAAGGTCCCTCTTAACTAGCATGTTTTACTTAGTATATACATTACTTTGCCGTGAATTTCGTACTTATCAGTTAATATGATTCACCTAGGGAGTAAAGCGTTTACATATGTATCCATTCCTATACGAGTTAGTTAACAATGTATGTGCTGATGAGATCTGGGTAATATTTGTTCTACAATCCAATCTGGATGAGAGGGGCAGTTTGTAGTTCAATGATTAAATCAAGCCTTTACTTCCATTAAACATAGATTCCTTTTTTATTGGTAAAAGGTATACCAGAAAGACAACAGACGGTGAGGTTCTAAATAATAAAATATTGATAAATTGTCGCAATAGGAGTTCCTTACTTTGCGGTTAAAGGATGGAAAGGTGCTAAATATCTAAAGAGCGACTCAACCCTAACGTAATATATATTCAAAACTTAAGCAATGATATAGTCACTGAGTTATCACTTACTTGGTTTTTCGTTAATTAATGATCAAATATTGAAATTAGTCTATCCCTTTGTTTTTAAAGATTTAAATGAGTAAGGTCAGTGTTTTTATTTTCCCAATCTGCACAACTTAGTGATCTACTGCATATTTACCTTTGCCAACCTTATTTGTGTCTGAACACCGGTTTTATCTGCTTGCTTTTCCCCTCTTGCCAAGATCGGGCCGCAGTATATCTTCTGCCAAAAAGGTGCCTCCTCACTGGGCGATACTTCATGTATTGATCTAAGACTGGCCAAACTTTTAGATGATTTTGTAGAGAAGATGCGGTGACGTTGCTGACACGATTGCTGACCTTCGCCGCCATCCAGACCACTATCAAGAGCTGAGACTTCAGAAAATTCCTTCTCACGCTGGCCGTGCGCTGATGGGGCGATCTTTTTTAGATGATCTTCCAATTGTTTATTGAGTTTTGAATATTCTTTTGTGGCCGAAGATACATCTGTGAACAGAGATCTTGGTCCACCTTTAGAGAGAATGGCGCATTCACTTGAATGTGATACACTGCAGCCTCTGAATGGATCTTCGGATACGTAGGATTGTCGTCCAAATACGCCTCTGATTTTCCTAATCAAAGATAGCTTAGTGGAAATTCCTTTGTTAACAGCCTCTTCATCTGAGATCTGTTCATTAATCCATGCCCCAGAAGATGAGTCCTATTACCAAATGTATAAGCAAATTATCTTTTATTATTCATTTACTTTACATCTAATATTAAAACAAATAATTTATAAAGAAGACTTAATTTATTCAATACAAACCCCCTTAAAACCTTGAGTCATATATTTGAACTTTTACGAATTTAATAGCTCTAAATAAGAATTGTATTGTTTAAGTTGATTAATGAAGTTGAATTTTCTTGCAAGGATAGGAGAAGGTCACATGCATTTCGTTCAGCCTTTCTTCTCAAAACGTATTCTCGTCGAGGCTGGACTATAGTTTCGACGCCACCTGATCACATCAACACCCCTACCCAGACACGAAGTCCTCCTCACCTTTAAGGAAGTAGCACAAACACAATTCTTATTCAAAATCTACTGGTAGTCTCTAAAACCTAACTATAAACAAAACTTAATAGCCCCAAGTATTGTTTTAGTTTTTTTTAATTTATATAATTATTACTCCTATTAAGTTTTCCATGTATAGGAAGCCAAAGCCGAAATGGAAGTTGTTAGTACTTTCGTGGCGTTGGTTGAATGACTATAAACCCATCCAAGTGGCATTCTCTATCCAGTAATAACGCCTTGTAAGGAATTAAACATAAAAATTCCCTAAAAAGTGTATTAGGTTTCGAATAAAGTTTAGCTTTTGTCCATTTGAGAGTCACATTGCCTGATATATCTGTAAAAGAATTTACACAAAAAATTGCCAGTAATCTATGAATAAGTTTCCATGCACGTCTTTACTTTATTTTTGCTTAATTCTAGCGTTGCCATCAGAAATGAGTGCAGAAGCTAAATAGTTATTTAAGGAAAAATGGAAATAAATGGAGAAGGCAATGCATATTTAATAATGCCAGACCTCCTTCATTTGCTTAGCAGATCCAAGAGGATGGTGGTTTCCCCTGGTATGGAATATTCTGATATAAATAAGTAAAATTATCACGACGAATTTTATATGTAAATAAATAACTAAAACGGCAAAGTGTACCATATTTTATTATGGAACCTTCTTATATTATTTATTTAGGTGAAAAAAGGAAACTCTATTAGTAGATATTAAAATAAAAGCTTACTTTGGGATCAGCTCCATTCTGTTCATAAGCCAAATTTAAAAGAGAATTTACCATCTTCATCTTCTCCCCTTTTTCCTTTCTTTTTTCACTTCCGTCAATGAATAAAATTTCCTCACATGATGGAGCCTCTCGCTTGTTGACTGATTTTTCGGAATCTATTTCCTTTATAAGTATTGGCAAACCAGAGTTAATTTCAATAGCTTGAGCTTGAGGAAATTGTATTGTCCGTGCAGTGCTAGCCATCCTTGGGCTTCCTTGCTGATCTTCTGTTTTTGCTTCATCTACTATCACTTTACGATTTATTGCTTCTTGTGCCATTGCTGCCTTGAGTATCAGTCGGCGAAAATTTCGTTTTACTTGCTCTGATCTTTCTTGCGGATTATTAGTTGTTATTGGTTGTGAATGCTGATTAAAAGAATTACAGAAAAATACGGCTTATTAATGCGTGGAAAGCCTTATTGTTTATCAATGGAATATGCCAAACGTCACCAGTTACTTATCGATTTGCCACAAGAATCATGCTAGTTACCTATTTATTATTGTTATTATTATGATACAATTTCCTCCTATTTACAGTATAAATAGTAGAAAACATTCTGCACGATTAAAATTTAGACAAATGCTGTTGCAAATTAGCACAAAACTCAAATTATAGCCAAGAAGGGCGTATGCATTTTTTTTATTATGGACTCAGTAAATCATTTAATGATGTAAATTCTGTGGTATTTTTGTAGATGATAGTTTAGCCCTCACTTTCCACAGAATTAGATGACCGGCAATTGTGAAACAAAATAAAAATGCATAAACAGAGAAGATACTTGCCCTAATATAAATATAATGGGCTTGGTATATTGCACAGGAGCATTACAGCCCTTTGATATACCACTATTAGTCAATTTAATAGATACATATGCACCTTATGGGCAATTAATTATTTTAGTCGAGGGTAGGAAGAGCAAGATAGTGTGGTCTGTTATTCGCTCGCGGTCTCCTTTCGTTGTATAGTAGTTGTTTGACCTTGTTTTCGCAACTATTTCATATTGACAGGAAGACTTATAAGAACGCACCTCGTCCAGAGTCTACAGCATTCATCGTAGTCGGCATAGTCAGTGAGACTTGTCACTATTAGCACCACAACTTATCAAACAGTTAAGTGGAGTCGATCCTTTGAATAATTGTCTGCTAGACAGTTGTGATATCTCTTCTTTTATCTTATGCTATTCAGATATTCTGTATCCACTATCACAATTTGTTACTTGATTATTTAAATGTGGTATAGCCTGTCTTATTAGTAGATTCCATAAGGCCTCTTCACATCCCACACAGGCTCTCTTACCCCCAATCTTACGCTAAGAATGTTGATTTGAGTCCGCCCTATTAGTCCACAATCATTTTTCCCTAGGTCCTATCATAATCTCGCTGTCTTATCACCCTGGTTCAGGGATTTCGCTCGACCAGTGCCACTCGAGGCGTTATTTCCCATACTCTGCCTCAAGTCTTTGTTGGCGTTTATACTCTTCTCTCAGTAAGTATGCCATAAAGTATGGATTCTTAAGGTATTAAGACCAAGATGGTGCGGCCTTTTGTGTGGTCGCAGTCTCCTTTCGTCGTATAGAAGTTGTTTGACCTTG